TGGAAAAGCTCCACTCGCAAGTCTCCAGCTGATGAGAACGTAAATATGATTGATTTGAATGCTTTCACGTGAAAAAACGAAGCTTTCCTCTTCATTTAAGGTTGTGGAGAAAAATTGCACAATCATGTGTAAATTTCCCTTAGATTCTTTAAGAGAAACCCATTCATCAAATTTATTACTCTCAAAGGAACCATCGTCTTTCCTTTTGATCAAAGAACCTGCTTCAAGAGTATAATTGCCAAGAGGTTTGTCCTTCACAAAAATATTTTCGTCGTAAACTTCACAGAATACTCTTTCATTAACACTATAGATTGGAACATAATAAACTTCATTCCAAATAGGATTAATGGTTTCATGCTTGACACAAGTACGAGCTATTTCTTTAGCAGAGGAATTAATGATTCTGACATAAGGGTCTGGTTTGGATGATGTGAACCAGCTACTTGATTTCCTGAGATTTCTAGCTGAGTCAATGTGAACCCTAAGAATACCAATAACTTCATCAGTAGCAATCACCTCGTCATCGTTTTCAACATCAACAGGACGTTCGACATCTCTGGTATCTATGGCATATTGGAAAGAACTATCTTCATCTATTGATGTTTGATCGACTTCAAATCTCCTTATGACAAAAATTCTGGCAGCTTCAAGAAGCTCTTTTCTCACATCCTCATCTTGAACTTGTTCACAAATCCAATCATTAGACTTTTGATATGTTTCTGCCCATTCACCTCTGAAATCAACCAAAACGAGACGAATATACCAAATGGAAATCGCAGTACTCCAGATGTGAACATCAAGCTTGGCAGCCTTAGTGTGTGAGGCAAAATGTGTTTCAAGATGGTTTTTTGCTTCCTCAATCGAACTAAAACCAAGTGACTCCGCTAATTTATTGTTGAGTTCAAAACAACCAGATTCTTTCTTGTAAGTAAGGAACCGACGTACAATACGTGAGGTAACATTGCGACGAAGAATAATCGATTTCTTTGAAACAACTATATATTAAAATATATAATGATGATAAATTAATTAAAATAATTACATTGTTATCAATTTCGGATTCAAATTTCTTACCGAGAACACCCAAAGCCTTTTGTTGATCATCACTTTCCCATTGATTAACATTAAAGTGTTGAATGACAAACCGATTTGTACTATTGCCAAGACGTTCTTCAACATCAAGATCGGCGATATTCTCACTTAACCAAGCTTCACCCTTGTTGTAAATTTCCATCCATTCTAGGCGATGCTTCCATAATAAAGCCTTAAGGAATGAAATAATAAGAGAAGTACTCCAAGTTTTTTTATCCAAAGAACGAACTCCCTCATCGTTTTGTACAAAATTAGCAAAGGCGTCTATCAATTCTTGTTTGGAGGAAAAATTAAAGAAACTCGCCAACGAATCAGTAAATTCAAAGCTACCATCTCGATGTTGATAAGTCAAGAGAAGGTATAAATGGCTGATAGTGATAGTTGTCGTAGTAATCTGAATAGATCTAATATCAGATTCCGAAAAATTATAGAATTGGGTAACAAAAGCTAATTTTCCTCGATTTTTTCCTTTCAGAAGAAGATCAGCGTCAAACTTTAATTGTCCCTTTCCTTCAATGGACCCATTAGCAAGAACTTTGACAATATCCTTGGGATCGATAACATAAAATCCCAGCGATGCATGTTTGAAGAAAAGATTGTAATCATAGACGTTGATCTTGAACTTTTCCTGAAGGTCATAGACAGGAATATAGAACACCTGATTCCAAACGGGATTGAGATTATTATAGATCACACGTGTTTCACCGTATTCCAATCCAGTGGACACATTGGATATTTTAGCATATGGGTCAGAAGAACCACCACCAAGCCATGTGTCTACTTGTTTTAGGCCTTTTGCGCTAATAATTTCGATTCTTGCGACTCCAAGAAGTTTTTTTGCTTTGATCGAGAGAAAAATCAATAAATCGGCAACCATAAATATGTTTGACCATTTTCCGTTAACAATACTTACCAATTCCACGAGTACTAACTTGATGCTTTATATTTGCAATTTTTTGCGCTATTTCTCCTTCAAAGTTGCGATCCACCAACAAAACTTCCTCTTTCACTTTGTAATGCTCCCTAACAAATGTTTTAATCAAATCAAGTAAATCATGTTCAACTAACTCCTTACCTTTAAACTGTTCACATAACCATTCATATGACCCGTCGTATTGTCGAATCCATTCTTTCTTGTGGTTAAATGCAACGTAACGATAGAAATAAATCACGATAATAGTAACCAAGACATTGCTATCTAATTGTTTGATATCTTCTGTTTTTGCGCTTCTTTGAATATTGATGATTGATTCACGAAATTTCTCGGCGGTACCAAAATCAAGTAACTTTGCAAGTTCGTCGGTAATTTGATATGACCCATCTTTATGACGACATTTTATAATTCTCCTGACCGTTGCTTCGTCTATTCCACGTGGACCTATAATAAGATAATTATACTGTAAGTACTAAGATTGTAGATATACGAATTCAACAAATAGTGACATACGTGGGCTATCGTCAATGTCAAATCTTTCAAGAACCGCCTTCCTGCCGGTAGCAACTATAATTTCCTCGGTCTCCAAATCTTTATCTATTTCCTTATTTATATATTTTTCAGCACGGTCATAGATCCCTTTCCATTCATTTCGAAAATCCTTCAATAAATATCGTAAGAACCACAATATCATGCTGGTTGTCCATATCGAATGATTAATCTTTAAGATGCGCTCTTCACGGCATTGTCTTCTATACAACTCAAGCAATTCATCAGAATTATGATAACCGAACATGTTTGCCAATGTGCCCGATGGAGGAAAACTTCCATTAGGTTCTTGTAAAGTGACAAGCACATATAAAGTGGAGAGATCAAATGGTTTTTCTTTGAGATTTGCAAGAAAATCTGGTGATGGTTCCGGAAGAGGGGTGAGTGGATAGAATTTTACCCTATAATGAAGTTGACCCTGGGTAGAAAGTTTTACCCAACTAAAATATTTAAATTAGAAACAGAACAAACGTAAATAAGAATTTTCCTCATGAGCTTTTAAAAAATAATAACATGATAAAATGAATCTTGCTTACTTATCAACTACATTTGTGCCTTCAAAAACACCTGAAACTTCCTTCACTATTTCACGGGTAATTTCAAGAGTATAGTTGCCAAGTGGCCTGTGTTTGGAGAAATTGTTGTAATCCATCACGTCCAAAACAAACTTCTCCCCAATATTTCTAATAGGGAGATAATGAACTTCGTTCCAAACAGGATTTAACTCATTTTCGATGTATCTGGTTTGGGATATAATAATGTCCTTACTACTCTCACGATAAACATTGACATATGGATCCGATTTTCCTAAAAAAGTAAAATTAATTGTACCAGAAATCATCACATTTTAGATTCAACTAATAGATGATGTCATACCTCCTCTAACGAACGAATCCACTTTCTTGAGATCCTTTGCACCCAACAATTCCAACCTGACAATTCCAATCGCTGGGCCATCTATTAAAAAAACAAACGTAAAAAGATGAATGAATTTAAATATTTACGTTGTAATGTGTACTTTTATTAATGATCTCTGGGTCATTACCATAACTCTTCTTCTTGATAAGCGGTACGATAGTCCATTTAGAAGATTGACTGCTCTTAGCAAAACTTTTTGATTGGCTATCAGAGAGAATAATCGATGTACCCTTTGTTTCCATCACGAACTTTGGATTGCTTTGAAGAACAATACGACCATCGCTAGTGAGATTCCATCGCTGATTATTAGGTTGACTTCTTCTGCTATGTAAGATGAGACGGGTACCCGCTTTTCCTATTTCAGAAATTGTATTCAATTATAGATGATTAATTCCTTAAGTTCTCCTTGTTGCCAATAACTTCTCCGTTTGATTCTTACCATTCTCGGCTTCCAAACACAAATTTGTCTTTTTATTGATTAGAAAACCCCCGTCTTCGCATCTCCAAAGCTGAAGAGGGTCCAATTCACTCTTTTGTGGAGCCATAACAGTTTTTGTACCATCTTTGATTGAACCCCAACCAATGATAAAACCACGTTCAACATCAACAACATTATTCGATGTACTGGAGGTAATATAAAAATCACCCTCAGGAAATTGAGCACTAGTCATTATGATTTAATTGCAATCGCCAGATCCAGAATCTCGCGAGATAAAAAAAAAAAATGATTTTTCATTACAAGGCCCTTTTATAACTCATCGCACATTTTTTCTTTAACTGAATTTGTGCATATCGTTTTCCCATAAAAGATGTACAAATCGTGAAAATCGTTGGCTGAGGTGTTGGCTAATCTCTTTACGTTGTACAGCAATTAATCAAAACTAAATGAGAGATTAAGTGTTACGATGCGACGCGTACAATTTCTTAGGAACTTTTCTCTTTGATAGTTTACTGCCGAAAAATGACTGATGAAAGTCCATCCTTCATTATTAATTTCAATGTGGCTTTTTGATGTTCTGTTGCATATAGACTGCCATCAACATCAATCGTTAGAAATCTCTTTAAAAAAAAAAAAAAATGTAAATGTAAACACGCGTCGAAACGTAACAATTTTGAAACTTTCTAATTCCTATATTTGTCAAAGATTAGCCAAATCTCAGCCGAAAGGTTTACGCAATCTTTTTTTCCTTGTAGATTATGTTAGTAAAGGAGAGATCGTTTAATTTATTGATAATAATTTCCTTATAAGTACATATACATATTAATAATTAAAAAAAATACTTGACTCACGATACATGCTTATTCATATTGTGAAACTGTGTATTAAAGTTGAATTGGTATTACATGGAAAGAGAATCCCTTGACAAACATGACACAAAAATTTAGGTTATCGATGGACGATCGATTTCGTTACAAAGAAGCTTATTCTATGACAAGATGTAAATCCCCTTTAAACTAAAAGGAAAAACCGTAAATTAAAAAAAATTTTCAAATAAGGAATTTAAAATAAGCATGCATTTAAAGTTACACTTGGGCACTTCTGCAGGTGGCTTTTTTTTTTTATTTATTTATTTATATTGATTATATTGATTGTTCATTTGAACATTCAAAAAAAAATTTTACCGGTAAATCTCCAATGTGCAGGGAGTGACGAAATTATGCTTATTTTAATTATACAATTGCGCATTCAATGGTCAATATCCTTGTCACATATCTCGTGAATAACCTATGTTAGTTCCACCCGGAATTACCCGAATGGTTTTATCGTTTTACTTATGAATTTGATACTATTGTCATTTCT